AGCTTACAACCTAATACAAAAGGATGGCTTATATAGCCCAAGTAACCAACAAACCATAACAAACTAATATCAAGCTAATAACAGGCTAATAACAAACCATAACAAACAAATAACACTCTAACATTCACCCTACTTTTCAACCGTTTAATTTTCTTCAAAGTGAACTTGCTATTAGAGAGTTGATCAAACAAAGAATGCAAACTTAATAAGCTGGAGTTCAACCGTCTTGTCGTCTTGATGAACAATTTACCGAACAAATTCTCTTTAACCTAAAACATCTTCATTCTTCAACTTTCCTCGGCTTTTCTTCTTCTTCTTTTCAAGAGTTATTTTTCATCTTCACTGTTCTTCCTCTTCACTTATTGGTACTTGGATGCAATCTGAAGCCTCTCTTGGGCAAGAAAACATCATATTTTGTCTGGTTAAGGAAGGCAAGGTTGTTAAACTCTTAACCCTCCCCAGAGATTTTCTTCTATGGTAACTTGGTTGTTAAACCTCAAAGTTCCATGTCAAACTTTGGAGAAGAAGTAACAAGTGATGAAAGATACTCTATAAACCCCTTAAAGATGTTGTATGATTTGAGAACCGAATGGAAAATGCATAACCAGCAAAACAGTAGATGCACTCTTACAAGAATATGCCAATATTCATGGATTACTTTCACCGGCAGTACCAAGCAAGGTTTTGCTTTTCATAGGTCACGGTACCGAGATTAAGCTACAACACAAACCAAAATTAATGGTTGATCATCAGCTTTCTGAAATCATGTTATCCCTTCTTCCCCTTGACCATCCTGTTTGAGTTGACTGCTCTCCATTGTGAGCATCAAAAGGAGTTCATCTCCAAACAGTACGTCCTTTTCTTGACCAGTATCTTCGCATCTGTTTTATAAGGTTTTTCAGAAGCAGTCGATAACCAATAAGCATCTAAGACCTCTTTTTTCGAAGCAAATTGTTCACTAAGCCTAATATCAACCAATATAACACCTTTTAAAGTAACCCCGTCAGGCAATTCAACAAACAGTTGATAGGCAGCAACAAACCGAAAAACTCAAAACAAGCAAAACAATACCACTGGAGCAAATCATTAACTGATCGAAGAAGAACATATAACAGGCAGTAATGAGAGTTCACACCACAGCAGTAACGAGGAAGAACATGTGAAATATCACATGAAGATCAACCAACAAAACCAGTGCCGATAACAACCCAAACTATCACCAAATATCAAATATTGAAGTAATTGTATATCTAAATCAGCAAATGATAAACCAAACAAAAGATGCACCAGCTAAGGATTCACAAGAGCACATGTAGTAACTAGACAGAGAACAATGAAATAATCGAAGGGACTGTCGACTGGGAACCTGACTAAAAGATGGAATGGTAACAGTGGAAGAAAGATGAAATCAGGATCTTTGGCGAATGATACCATGTGAGAATGTAGCCATGGAGGTTGAGAGTGATGGAAGGTTGTTTTGAGTTGGCAAATGAGGAATGGGATAATAATAGTGAGAGATGACAGAATAGGTTTTTTATTAAACAAAATAAAATACTCAGTTTACAACCTAATACAAAAGGATGGCTTATATAGCCCAAGTAACCAACAAACCATAACAAACTAATAACAAGCTAATAACAAACCATAACAAACTAATAACACTCTAACATATATGACATTTCGTTGATTGTCATATATATATGTTGAATGGGACGGTTAAATGAAGATTGGTTTTTCATTTATCTATTTTGAATATTCATCAAGTTTTCTTCCTCTATGTTTGGTGTTTGGGGATGTCGAAATACTTTGTCTTTGTATGTCGTTGTTTCAGTTATTCACGTTTTTTCTCTTCAAGCTATCATTAATTGCTTACTATTACATTTTGTTTATGATAGTCATAAATATATTTATCGAATATATACACGGCAAAAGTTTATTGATATTGTTTTATTTTACTAATAAATATATCATAGTACTATTTTAAAAAAAAATCAAATTTTATTCTCATTCTAAATTAATACTTAAACTTTTGACATTCTAATTTTATCTTAAAATTATGACTCTCATTCTAAATTGAACCCCGGACTTTTAAATCTTTCAATTTTATCCTCAAATTCATCTAAGTTTGTAATTAATTTCAACTATAATTTAACCTAAATTATATTTTTTTTCATACATACAATAATATGACGTAACGATTATATTAACAAAAGATGTGATTAATATATATATATATATATATATATATATATAACTTGGAACGAAATTAAAATATTCAAAAAGTTTAGAATTTAATTTAAAATAAAAATCATAGTTTTGGAATGAAACTAAATTATTCAAAAGTTTAAAATATAATCTAAAATAATAGTCATAATTTAAAATTAAATTAAATTATTTAAAAGTCTAGAGAAGATGAGAATCATGATTGAAGAACATACTATACAAATAACTCTAAAAATAATAATATATAACTTTATATTAATATGGATAATGAATTAGTAGTATAATTAAAAAATTAAGGCATAATGCAAACAAAATACCCCTAACGTTTGGCACTATATGCATTTGTGCCCAAATCGTTTTTTTTAGCAATTCTACCCACAACGTTTGTTTATGAGGCATAAGTCCCCCCCTTTGGATGGAATCCGTCAGTCAACTGACGGTCAACGGGTCCATCTAACGTGGCATGCATATGTGTCACCGATGATGACGTGGCATTTCCATGTCACTATTTTATGCTGATGTGGAATTTACACAAATGATGATATGGCATGTCCACGTCACTAATATGTGCTGACGTGGAATTTACACGTAAGTTTTTTTAAACTTTCAATTAAAATTTTGTACCAATAAGAGAGCGACACGTGTCACTCTCCTATTGGTGCGTATTGGAAAGAATGAATAAAATGTTGATACTTGCGTGGAAGGGGAATCAAACCTGGGGCAAGGGCATGAAATGGGATGGCTCTTGCCACCAGGCCAAGCATGCTACTTGGTTAAGTAATGAAACAAAATCTTATTTAACCTATCATCCGACTATAAAACAGAAATGGACATCCATGTTATTACTAATCTGTTTAAGAGGAAACCCTAAAACATAAACTAAACAAAACCTCTTATTATCCACTCTTTTCCTCACACATGCACGAGCGGCGACACCTCTCAACTCCAAAGGCCCCAATGCGACGACTCCCCAGCCACCGGACCTCGACGACAGTTTACTCCCCAACCACCACTTGAGGCAGCCGAAGAGGCCCAAACAAACCCAAAAAACGACGACAACTCTCACCTTCCTTTCCATTCTTTTTTTAAACTCTCGACTGAAGCTAAAGAGAGACCAACACCGTCGTAAATCAATATTCTTCTACCCTTCGGCTACCACCTATGATGGTCGACCAAACCAAAACTCGGACCTACAACAAACCCAACTCCTTTCTCTGTCTAAACCTAAAAAAAATGAGCTCCCAAACCCGACGCAAGCCACTGCCGACGTCTAAGAGGACTTGTCTCCTTAACTTCTTAAACCGACGTTTTGACTCCGGTGACGACAATTAAGAAAGGGTAAGCGTTTTTCAAGCTTTAAGCTCGTTTAGAAACGAAAGTAAACAAAGTGAAACCAAGCTCCCACCCGGTCCACGGTGGCTACCGATCTTCGACAACCTCTTCAATCTTGGCTATAAACCCCACAAGTAATTGGCTAAGTTCGCTCAGGTTCAAGGCCCTGTTATGGGTCTCCAACTCGGCAACTTATTCATTGTCGTCGTTTCATCGGAAACAACCGCGAAAGAAGTCTTGAAAGAACAGGACCTCGTCTTCTGTAACTGTACCGTCGTCGATGTCGTCCTCTTCAGCAACCTCTTCAATCTTGGCGATAAACCCCACAGGTTATTGGCTAAGCTCGCTCAAGTTCACGGAGTCGTTATGGGTCTCCAACTCGGTAGCTTATTCACCGTCGTCGTTTCATTGAAAACAACCGTGAAAGAAGTCTTGAAAGAACATGACCTCATATTCTATAACCGAACCGTCGTCGATGTCATCCGAGCCTACTGATTCAATGAATTCGGGCTCTTGTTTATACCCATTTCACCACTTTGGAGAACTGTTCACAAATTTTGTGCTATCAATCTTTTCTCTAATCTAAAACTCAATGCCAACCAATACTCGCGTCGGGTGAAGACTGAAGAACTGATCGAGAATGGTCAGCAGAATATTTGGTGTATAAGTTTGCAGATTGTATCCAAAATTAATAAATTCTAAACATTAGTAATTGTATTATAAACAGATAACGCATAGGTGTATATCATTCCACGTCCATTTCTGTTTTATAGTCGGATGATGGGTTAAATAAGATTTTGTTTCATTACTTAACTTAGTAGCATGCTTGGTCTGATGGCAAGGGTCATCTCATTTCATGCCCTTACCCCAAGTTCAATTCCCCTTCCACGCAAATATAACATTTTATTCATTCTTTCCAATACGCACCAATAGGAGACTGACACATATCGCTCTCTTATTAGTACAAAATTTTAATTGAAATTTTAAAAAAAAAACTTACGTGTAAATTTCATGTCAACACATATTAGTGACATGGAAATGCTACGTCATCGTCGATGACTACATGTGCATGTCACATCTGATGGATTCGTTGACCGTCAATTGACTGACGATTTCCATTCAACGAGAGAACTTATGCCTCATAATCAAACGTTGTAGGTACAACTACTCAAAAAAAAATGATTTGGACACAAATGCATATAATGTCAAACGTTAGGGGTATTTGTTTGCATTATGCCAAAAATTAAAATGATGTTCCTTAAAACATTGAAAACGTGAAGGTTAGGGTTTCAACCTTCAATCCTTCATCGCCATGGATGATCTAATTAAGCTAAGTAAATGAATCAGATTAGGAATTAAGAGAAATTAACTTACATTCACTGTAACTGTAGATCAACAATGCTTAAAACATGTGAAACACCAAACATAAAAATCCTACATTTATCTTAATTACGCCCACGCTTTACAAATCTGGGTGAGGTTCTACTCCCACTCTGCAACTCAGTTTTACCCTTCCTTTTCTTCTTATCATCTTTAGTTGCAGACCCATCATTAACCTCCTCGACGATCTTCATCACATCGCTGCCGATGACATCGCTAAAACTCCTTTTCCTTTGGCTCATGAAGCCGCTGTTCTTCGCCACTAGCTCGAAATCATCACCCAATTTCCGCACCGCACCATTCCGCAATACCCTCTTCTTTTCTCTCTTCAACAGCGGTTCATCGACTTCGCTTTCACTCTGGACGTCATCGTTTAGATCCAAGAATCTCTTTTTTACAGCAATGGGAGCGGGAGGGGGAGAAACATCGCCATCTTCGTTGTCCATTTTGGTTTTAGAACTCCTTTCGGGGGTTTCCTTCGGGAAATTCTCGCGCTGAGCCTTGAGTCTTTTGATGTTGCCTTCGATGCGACCTTGGAGACGGAAACGCTTGAAGCTGCGACCACCCATGGACCAATGTGCTTCGTCGGCCCATGAGAGGAGCGGATCGAGTACCGGGACCGGAGGGTCTATACGTTCCGAGCTGAACTTGGTATCTGTATAGATGCGGGGACGTGGAAGGCTGCTTCCGCAGAACTTGCCGGGGCCGAGAGGAACCACCATTGTTTGGCGGTCAGTAGTTCAGACTCTTTTGGGAAGTATGACGAACAGTTTAGCGACTGTGTTGAAAGGAAGATGAGTAATGTGAGAGATACTTGTGGGCTTTGGTGTTTGTTGCTTTAAAGGGAGTTAGCTGAGCGAGGCGGGTGAATTTGGCGGGAAAACTATGGCGGCCAAAGTTAGAGCCACCCCAGGTTAGAAAATTGATCATCATTCTAGAGGAATAAAAATAATAATGTAAAATAATACTATTTAATAATTTAAATATATAAACTATTTTGTAAATTCAAATATAATAATAAAAGAATTTTAAATATTAATAAACTAATATATTAATCAATTAACATGATTTTAATCATAAGTTCCAATAAAGCGTTTGGTGAAATTATCGTAAGTTCCAAGTCTAATTCAGTAGTTATGTGCAAAACAGAGGTTTGAGTTCAATTCCCTTTTCCCCAATATTTAACTTTTTTATTAAAGAAAAAACCAATAAGGTGTTGATACAATGGTTAACTAAGAGAGAAAAAGATATCAAAAGAAATAAAAAATCCATGTCAACATCATCTTTAAATTTTCATCAAAGAATGATCAAAGTAGAAAAATTTAAACGTTATTGATAATTTTATAAAAAAAAAATAGTTAAGGTCACTCGATTAATTGATCAGAACAATCAAGTCATGCATCATCGTATCGATAATTGTCGACTGAACCTCAAACTTCACTATGAAATACGTCTACAAATGACTAAATAATTTTATAGAATCTCTCAAAAGTAATGAAATCACCCAAAAAAATTAAGTTTCCTGAACCTTTGCGTCATTTTCTATCGAATGGCCTCCATCTTAAGATATATTCTTCCTTTCCATCATTCGAATCGTCAAATTGAGCCACCGTCTTCAAGAAGGCCAAAACATGAAATGAGTAATAATTTTTTATTAATTAAACAACTTGTTTGTGATTTATTCAATCTTACATGTGGTGTAATTTATTCAATAAGAACATCATTAAAAAATCCCTAATAGCACCTTTTAACTTTCATTTCATTTTTAAAGATCCAATAATCTATTTATGCCAACTGATTAATTAACTTACTCGTTTTTTTACCTTATAAAATCGGCCAATCTATTATTAATTTTATTAATAGTTGAGTGACGTGTAATTTATCCTACCTCGTAATACTATAAATTGAGAATCAATTTAGAATTTATAATCTAATTCAGAGAAGTTTACTACAATTAACTCTATTTATGCATAACACAACCCTTTATTTAATCAAATTCAAAAAATTAATTCCTTATTCAATCCTCAATTTAAGATTATATTTAATACTTATTAAATAATTCGAATAGAGTAAAAATTCATTAAAGATATGCTTTTCAAAATGGAGGAAGCTTTTATAAGACTCTTGTGTTTATATTTGATTATAATTAGTACTAGATTGCTTCTTCTTTTTTAATAATAGGATTCTTCAAACATAATAAACAAGAGGTAGAAATGTAAGCACAATCAATGGTAATTAAAAAAAGCGACATCATTGATTATCATTTGATCTAATGAGATAAGGAGTTAATATTTATAATAATATAAATAGAATAAACTGAATTGAAGAAATTATTTTTATCTCTGTATTATTCAATTCAGATTAGTAGAGTAATGAAATATATAATTAAAAATGAAAAGGTGACGGTAAAGAAAAATGATAGCATCCACCAATTAGTTATTGCTTAGGCCCTTTATTCCACCCACTATGTGTTAAAAATGATAATTTAATAAAAATGGAATAAATAGAGTGACACACTAAGATTATACTACAAATTATAAGAGAACCTCTCAACCAACATTAGTGATTTAAAGTAAACATAATTACAACCACAAAAGGAAAAGAGAAGAACAATAAAGTAAACAATAGATAGTTATTTAATTAAATAAAGGTATAATGAAAAAAATCATCCCTAATATTTGATAAAATAATTACTTTGACCACTATTTTTTTAAAACATATTAACCTCAACGTTCCATTTTGGCTCAAAAGACCACGCCGTTGATTGAAAATCATTAGTTAACTAACGATAAACGCCCGAAGCTGACTCAACCAAAACAGGTGGAGAGAGATGTTGATTGGCATGTCTGCGTCAGAAAAAATGATGACATGACAGTTTTACACGTTAGCAAAATTTTTAAAAGTAAAAATAATTAGAAAATAATTTGAATATTAAATTATTTATAATCAAACAAAAAAAATAACACACGACATCACTCTCTCTGACATGGATATGACATGTCAACATCTCTCTCCACCTATTTTGGTTGAGTCTGTTTCGAACATCAATCGTTAGTTGATTAACATTTTTCATCCAACAATGGTATTTCGACTTAAAATGAAACGTTAGAGGTTAATATGTCTAAAAAGAGTATGTTCCGAAATGTATGTTTTGTTAATCGTTAGTGTGTTTTATATTATTATCCCTTAAATAAATAAGAAATAAATTTTAATGACCAGCAAACGTTAAATCAATAAAAAATTACGATATAAAAAATTTAATTAAATAAACTATACGTGTGTTCATAACTTTCCATCTCATATTTATATAATCCGACTACCTAGCATAACCGTAAGCTAACTGCTTACAACTAACACCATTACAGTCTAACAACCCATAACTATAGTACTTAATATTTATCAACTTTAATTTGTACTTTTTTTAATTAAATCGGTACCTTAATAGGAGAAATGTTTTAATTTAATACTTAAATTTATAAATATTTTCAATTTAATATATGATTTTGAGATGATACTCTAATAATCAATCAGATTATTATGCATCAAGGTTAAGTCAGAAATTAAAATTGTGAAATCATTTTTTTCTAGAATATCAAAATATTAACATTTCATTAATCTATTTATAATATAGTTATATACAAGACTATTACCGTTTGCACACAAAAGTTTTCATACAACTAACATATAATTAGTATTTTTTAAAATATATTTTTAGGTCAAAAATAAAATTTAATACAAATTATTATATATTATATAATAATTTTGTTAATGTGACACATGACAATATTATTATTATTATTACTTTTAAACACCCAAGTAAAGATTGGTTGATATGACCCATATACATATGTATCGATTTAAATATTTTTTTTCTTTTTAAAATTTAAATACCAAATTCATTAAAAAAAATACAGATATTAAATGCCTTTATGTGGTTACTTTATATTAAATGTTAGTGCAATTTTTTATTGGATTTAATTGTTGTTTTATCATTATAAGCTTACAAATTAGAGAACTGGAGATGTTACTTGAACCATATAGACAACGAGAGACATGCTTTTATTTATATCATAGATAATACAGTTTCAAGTGTAATGATAATTATATATATATATATATTTCATTTCCATTGGACCATATCTCTAAAAATAAAGTAAAATGTCATATATTGACAACGAGAGGACGTGCATGCATTTTATATTTTCATGTGCTAGTAGCTTAGCTGAAAGTTGTCAAAGGACTTGAGAAATCGGAGAGCAGCATCCTTAGCCTTCTCGGGTGGCGGCATGGCAGGTGCCGACGGCTCGAACTCGGCCTTCCATTCAGCAATGCATTTGGTATTGTTTCCTTCAATAGGAATGAAGGAGAAAGTAACTCTGTAAGTATCATACATCTCCTTCAAATCCCCTTCGATCACCTCGTATGTCACCGACCTACCCGTCACCACCTTCTCTATCTTCTCCACTGATTCTTTCACATAATTGCTTACAGCTGCACAAAATATAATTTAAACACACGAATATACGCAAGATTTAATTTTTGGGGTATAAAAACAAATTATAATATATGAAAAATTTTAAAAATTAGAAGAACAATCGTTCCTATCATCGATCTATCCCTTCATGTATGAAAAATAAAGTTTACCAGGGCCAAGCTTGAAGAGCCTCAAGCTTCCAGGGCCACCATCTCCTTGAATATACTGAGCCCTGGAAAGCAAATCGGGGTTGATTTTGCTGATGATTTCGTCGTTTCTGTACATTTCCCAGGCTTTCTGGGCTGGCATGTTGAGCACCACTTCTCCTTTCATCGTCTTCATCTTCACTCACTCTGGTTTGTTTTGCGAGTATGGTGAGGCTTAAAAAAGAAGAAACTTTGTTCTAGATACTGCGCAGGTGGAGATTAGTTTAATAATAAGACACTGCAATGAAGCCCACCTTATGCGTTGTATTACTTTTCTTATTCTTTTACGTTTAATCCTTATCTATAATGGTCAAAGAGCCTTTGTCTAAATTGTATGGTTGAAGGACTTCATTCTTTAGGATTTTTTTTAATTATTAATATTTAATTTATTAATTTAAATATTAAAAGATATATTATGAACGAAGTACGTTAAAATTATATTTTATTGTTATTCTGTTAACTAAAAAATTATTCTATTCAATTTTAATTTTAATTTTTCTGTGTGAAATATTTATTTTTATCTGTTCTTTCATTACAAAAAGATTTATATGACATTTTGAGAATGTATCACTTAGATTATCACACCATACTGTCATATGTAATAGATTATTTTAGAAAAATAAAATATTTTATTAAAAGCATTTTCCTAAATTTAATATTATATTTCATAAAACCCTTTAGGTGACACGTTGTTAGAGTGTAACCTAATTTTTGTTTTCAAATTACTAGATTTTTAATGGAATACTCTCTTGCACTATAATTCTAGCTTTACTTTATTTTGTGATAGTATTGACACTTTATTGCTGGCTTTTGCAAACCAAAAGTTACTTAGAGATGTTTTTAAGATACTTTTTTGATCCGTAAAATTAATTAGTTAATGTGATGGATATGAATTTTTTGATATATAAAGTGTAGAGAAAATTATTTTTTAATTTAGTGTTACTGTTATAATACACGTCGAAAGACCTCTACACGATACAAAGTTTTTAGTAAGACTGTAGCGGAACCATAAATTTAGAAATAGGTGTCCAAAAATTTTAATAGTCTTCTTTTTAATATAATGGGTATGCAAAATTTCTTTTTTTCTTCTTCTTCTTTTAATATATTGAACTATATTGAATATCTAATCTAAAATAATGGGTGTGCATATTGCCCCCTATGTGGCCATATGCATCCGCCCCTGGATATAAGCTTTCAGGCATGCATGCAGTTAAGTGGAAGACATCGTGTTGTTTGGACATCTTCTCGAAATCTTCGTATCTTCTGGATTTCCTCTAACGTACACTATAACAATCCCATTACCTGAAAAAATAATTTCGCCCACACCGTAGACGACATTTTTTTTAGTAACACTATAACATTTATTTTTAATGAGAAAATAGAGATACCGAGGTTTGATTTGAATAACTCAACAATGTTTGGGTCATAAAATTTTGTGAAACTTTATGAAAGGCAATTTCATAATAATAATAAAAATAATAACAACAATATTTTTTTATTTAAAAGTTTTCAAAAAAAATATAGGATCTAAAAATTTTTATGATAATTTTTATTTGATCCGAAATTATTTTGTAAGAAAATCCAATAAAGTGTTATATATTCACCTTTAGTAACAAACCAAAAGATTCTTTTGATTACTTCTTTAAACATCTTTTGTAAAGTAGAAGCATATGTGATTTTCCATTTTTTTAAGTATACTAAGTTAATTGATCTTTAGATTCTTTTACCTTTCTTTTCTTTAAAATCCTTCTAAATTTTAAATCACTGCCATTGCTTTCAAATTTAAAAGCATATGCATGCAATGATTTGTTGGATTACAAGAAAATCATAGAAAGAAAATAAAATCTAGTCCCCATAGTATTTATTTTATGCAAATTTAATACCTCTACTATTATTTGCTCAAAACTGATCCCTCCACTTTCCGAATTTACTCGATTCTAGTCTAAATGCTAACAGCTTCCGTTTGATCCGTTCATTTAAGTGACGTGGCTTTTCCATAATTTACATGTCAATTTATTTAGTTGATTTGGTCTGAGCATATACTCATTTGTCACATAATTTCACTTAGAAAACACAATCACAAAAATACTAAAAGCTCCTAAGACTAATATACCTGAGTTACTCTATACAACCAAATACAGATACCATTTTCAAAACGGAAAATCTCCGTCAAAGATAAACCGAACCTGAATATGCCGGTCATTCAGAGTCGATAATAGGAGGCCATCTCATCTGCCTCATGCTGAATTCAAGCCTGCAAAATGTAAACATATATATATGTATATATGTATCCATGACCAAAAGAAAACATCAAGCAGGCTGGGGAAAGTTGTTGATATGTCACCTTAAATTTTTATTAGTCGTTAGCCTTTTTCCCGGTGACGATCTGGAAGATCCGTAGACCCCTGCTAAATGCTTCGTTAAATAAGATCCGCATCTGCATCGACTGAAATCCCGGCATCCATGATAAAAATGCCACGGGAGCCATAACAATTACTCCAAACAGTATATCATATAGCCGAGCCACATACACCACAGAATCCCAATGCCTCGTAGACTGCAGAAATGGTCGAAGCACTTGGGCGATCGATACAAGTCCCCAACCAGTGGGAACAAAAGCTAATAAACTGGTGAAGAGGTCGATAAATCCGAAGGATGTAAACTCGAGCAGTGCAATTATAACAAGTATTCCAAAAATAATGACCAGGAACTGAACCAACCTAAAATAAATATGGTCCTTAGCTGCATATTTGTCACGTGCATACGAGATCACCAGATAGATTCCGAATGCCACGAAAATGTAGATCCAAGACAGCAAGTACACAACAATACTGGTACTATGATCAGAAATTCCCAGCTGGTATACAATTCCATACTGGAAAAAGAAGAACCGAAGGTCTAAAACAATCTCCAGTAGCTTTCCCCAGAGGCCAGTTGTCCTCAGATGATCTTGCTCCTCGTACCACCACCGCTCCCAGCTCTGTTCAGCCTTCGCAAACACACCACCGTGGTACCATATCCAGTTCATAAATTCATCGAAGTCATCGACGGTTTTTAACCAATCAAAACCAGAAGGATTGAATACAAATGGTGCCATTATCCATGATGTGACCAGAAACCAACTTGAGATAGTCATAGCTATGTAGACAAATGTGCCCTTAGCAACAGGGCTATGAGAAGCATAAACCGTAAGTATGAGCCCAAGCTCAATAGCCTTTATAAAGTGGCTGCGTGCGTACAATCTGTAATTTTCTGCGAAGCTCTTGTGCTGCACAACAAAACCACGGCCGGTTGCCCGGTATTTGGCACCCCCGTGAAGGATGGTCCGGCCAAAGAAGTGAGTACGGGTTCCCATGGAGAATGTGTAGAAAACAGATGAAAGCTGAAGCTGCATCGTCAAGAAATCCCAGATAGCTTGAAGGAATCCATGCTCAAGCGAATTCTCCACTATCATTGGAAGGGCAGTGAAAAGACCAAGTTGGATGATGAACTGTTGATTTAAGATGGCCCCAAGTGCTTTATTGTTGCTGCTGTTGTTTGCCAGGGCAGCATTCTCAAGACCACTGAGAGCAAGATAAAGTCTACCCCACAGAAAAGCATATACAGTAAGAACTACCATCATTGTGTTGAAAACAAATCCTACCGTCGTATAAAAGAATGATAACATCCTGAAGAAATCCAGTCTATGACCCAGCCGATAGGCATCTCTGCTCAGAACTTGCTCACCATTCCCACTAGCAACCTTGGCTTCAAACATTGATATTTGATTCAACCCAACATCCCTTCCTTTACCAACCTGGATGTATTCATGATGTGAGACATTTCCTCCTCGCAAAGTACAATTAAAGCCAGCAAAAATGTCCTCACTAATATTAATCACTCTAGAAGCCTTACTGATCCCACCCCGAGTCAAAAACCAAAACCTGTCAAAGACATCTGGATGGCCATAATGCATTCGAATCTTCAGAGGATTTGCCAAGACTCGCTGTCCTAGAGTGACAAAACTTGTTTCTTGAGCTGACATAAACCAAGCAAGTGATGAAACAGAACCAGTAAAAATATGCTCCCTGACTCCTAAGATAGTGGGCTTTCGTATACCATAGTAGTTCTTGTATTCCTCCAAGAGATTGCGCATTTTCAGTGCCTCCTCAAAATAGTTGTCTTGGTTCATATCAATAGTTTGAACAGCATCACCACGGGTGAAGATGAGCGCATGGTTTTGATTCTCTGGTTTGCCCTCACCAAGTTTCAATGGACCAGGCAATTGGACACGATAGATTTCAACCTCCTTCTGTAGTTGTTGATCATACTTCACAAGAACAGAGTAATACTCCTTCTCATCCCTCCCAATCAAAATCTCGTCGACATAGGCAACTCGAAGGGCTTCATTGTGTTTCATCAGATACAAGATTTCCTCAGCATGTGGATCCTTTTTGTCCTTCTGTGCTCCATATATCTGGCAGGCAACTACATATGTGAATTTCATCAAAGAGGCGGCCTTCTCATGGCCTTTGAATAGCAGACCCAGAGAGCTACTTTCTCTTCCTAAACTCCTGGAAGAAGGTGAACTGATCGAGACAGCACTATCCAGACCAGCATCTCCCCCCATAGAACCAAGTTCTTGTATACCTTCTCTAATATCCATCTCCGAAGCAGAATCAAGGAAAGCCAGCATCTTTAGAGCTCTATAATAGTACATCATTCCTCTAACAGTGCGAGAAAGTGTCTGGCCTCTGTAAGATGCCCAGAGCCTCAGATCTCTCATTTTGGTCGTCCATATCTCATCATCCTTTACCTTTCCTTTTCGACGCATTCTTTCCATGAAATTTTTCCACTCATCATGATATATGGTCTGCAAATAATATAGGATGGAAATCCCATCTTCATTCTCAGTTCGAATCTGTTCTTTGCTATAGAGCACTTCTTCATTATAGTAAGGGGTGAGGACACTAAAAGCCATCATCTTCTCCACTTGGGGAGCATGAGGTATGTTCATAAAGAGTGAGTTGCTAAAGAATGCAATTCGACGTCTAGCCTCAAGATTAACCGGAATATTCTGCATGGAATCCCTGGAGGTAAGAATTGTATGCAAGCGCCTTACCTGCCGATAGAACTTCTCATCACTAGGGTCAGGCACCTTAACAGCTTTCTCAAACAACAGTCCTGCCATGGAAGCAGGGTCACGAGGTGCCAACCCATCCTCCCTCAGTTGTTCAATGGCCCTCTGGTCTTTGAAAAAATCACGGACAGCAATCTCGTAAAGTGCCTGTAGAATATTCACCAGCTGGATCTCATCCTTCTTGGGCTTGGTCAATATCTCAATAAGTTTTATCAACTTCATATGAATCTGGGGCAGTGCAGTCATTTTGAATGTCTTGGTGAACTTCTCAATATCAACAGCGTGATCAATTTCATGAAACAGAACCGTGAGAATGGAATGCTCCTCAGACCGGGCATTGAGGATTTCAAGCATCATGTGCTTGATGCTGTCATAAGCTTCGATCACAGCACAACGTCTGTACTCATTCTTGCCTATTTTATGCCAGAGCCACTTATCAGGAGCATCCACCAATTCTTTTGCCTGGCTAAGAGCAAGCAACAGCTCATTGCATAGTAAAAAACATGGCCAGCAAATAACCCTGATATTCCAAGAATTCTGGGGCAACTCTAGTAGTTCGACTTCAGCATCAGAGATGATATCTTCTTCCCTGAAAATGTTAATTATCTCATTCCATATCAGTGCAAACCTTCGAGCCTCAACCTGGTCAGATTGAAGCTTCTTGTAAGGTTGCCCAAACCCATATCTCAGCTTCAACCTGTGAATTGCATCCTTCAACTTGCTCTTAAATGTTTCCCTAAAATCCAATAACTGTTCTTCAGGCATAAGATTGAACTGTATTGCACTGGCGAAGAACTGAAACCTCAGCTTTAACTGCTGCATATTTCTAATCTCACCCAAGTGCTGCAATAACCCCACTGCTGCTCCCACAAAGGAGGAATAAATTGAATACCAAATCTGAATATCCATCAAATAAATAAGCACCACAGGCAACCACAATAAACCAACAGCCAAATTGACACTGCCACCCGGCCACTCATAATCAACAGGGTTAAGACCTAACAATTGCTTGGTCGGTTTAACCATGGGTTTAATCTGCAAGAAATAACTAAATGCAAATTTTGAAGCTAAAACCAATACCCAGAAGAGAGTATATTTAACATTATCAACTAGCCCTTCCCTCAATCCCCGACCAACAAAACTCCTACTCTGAAACCACCAAGTCAACAAGTAAAATATTTTCCAATTGGTCTCCTCTATAAAGTTCCTAATCCAAGGAAGCACAAATAAAGCCAATGCCAATACTTCCGGCAAGACATAAACACCTGCAACTAGTAGAAAAAAAGACACCCTCTTACCAGCCTCGGCACTCCACCGTCTATCATGGTTCCTCTGCGACCAGATCCTTACATAACAAACAGCAAAAGTCAAAATCCAACCAGCAGCAACCACCGCTTTTAACAACATCCTAAATCCAAGCAACAAGGTTTCTGTCGAAACACGGCTATACTGCATCCCAATATCTAATATAGCCTGCAAAAACCTCATCAAACTCCAAGTAATAAACACTGTCAAAAGCTTAACCCGAACATCGTTACTTGTCAATGCTTGCCATGGATAGCCTCTCTCCTCCCACGCTATAATAATGGCAGCCTGAAGAAACAAAAACAGCATCACCCAAAGCCTATCGAAACTCCTGTAAAGATTCCAAAACGACCTTTGCTCGACGAACCCAGTTTTCCCAACATGTTTACTTTCGCTGGAAGTAACAAAAAAATTGCTTCCCACATCAATCGGCCACTTGAGTTTCTTAAAACATCTCCTACTCCAAAAATACTCGTTCAAATCATCATAGTTCCTCCAAGCAGTATGCGGCGCCGTTCCGTTCCTGCTACTCTCAACTTCTGCCTTTACAGTCTCGTATATCGGCTTCACTACACAGTGCAGAAACGCATTTTCTCCCGATAAAGACGGCATAACGGGTTGGCCAGTGTTTTCGTCGATGTAATCTTCCAGAATCATGTTTAATTCCTTGGCCATGTGATGGAATATGTAGCAGATACATTCAGGCATGAACCGGAGGTTGGCAGATTCGCCCCAGATCAACAAATAAAGCCCCACGTAAAGTAACTCACGGCGGTGATCAGACTTGGAACGGTCGCTTCTCGAGATCCATACGTTAGATTTCTTGCCTAAATAAGAGCACCAGTTCGTGTAGTTCCTGAGGAGTTTGCGGCGGAACGTACGAAGTACGCCGGCGTCGAGGATATCAATGTTTTCAGGCGGAGGAGACAGTCGCATCTGGGAGTTGGCGAGGTGGAGGACGAGGTGTTCCCTCTGGTTCTTGACGCTGTCGTGCTGGAAACAGAAGAAGAGAGCCAGCCAGTCTAGTAGGTCCATAGCAGGATGCCATTGTGCATGAGGCGGGATCCGTAGATCTCCGACGGCGCGTAGAGCGGAAGCAGCGCAGCGGACTTCGGGAAAACGGAGAGAAGGGTGATTGGCGAGGAGGTTGTGGACGGGAATTATGTTGTACGGTTCATCTTGAGGCGGAATTGCTCGGCTCGGGGCCGACTGAGGCCCGGGGCGGTGACGGCGAGGCATCGCATTAAATTAAGAAACGAGGAAATTTTGAAATTGGGGGATTGCAGTTTCAGTTGTGGATGGATCAGTTACTTTAGTGGTTCGGTTCCTTTTTGGAAAAGAGAAAAGGTGATGAAACTGGAAATAAATCTCAAATTTCAGAATTTAGCCGCATTATTTATTTATTTGTTTATTTATTTCGTGTCTTTTTCAATAAATTATTTATGAGTATTCAAATTTTTGTTTATCGGTTAAATTAGGCTTGAGGATCTTTTAAGCCGTTAATAAAAACTGAAAGTAATAATAATAATAATTCAATCTTTATTATAGAAAATAATTAATTAGATCTTCTTTAATTTAAAAAATCTACATTTAAAATATAAATTACTTAATATAATATAATTTTAAATAATTTAACTTTAATTTTTTAATTTTTATTTTTAAATAATTTAAAATCGATGTACGGTTGAAACACGATTTTAAAAGTGATTTTAATAAAAGACGTGGTGTGCTAAAAATTCTTTCATTCATTTCAACCATGTAGGCTAAAGGCATCTCCAGCTAAACGCACATTACCGAAGGCGTTCCCAATTAACACCACTTTCTAATCTATGGGACTAAAGTGAGTGTCATTTTTTGAAATAATTTTTTTTTTGTTACAAAAAGGCACTACCATCGGCGATTTTATTGAAAAACACCTTATAGGAAATAATTACCTTTCATGCACATTTTTTTTAATTTTATTGATTTATCATCCTTTTTGATAAGGCACGGATCCAAGATTTCGTCTGAGTTGGCACCATGTCAATAAAGGCACGAATGGTTATTCGCACATTATCTGAGTTGGCGCTACGTAATGATAGGCGTGAATCGTCATCCGCGTCTTTCTGAGGTTTCTGGCACGCATCAATATCTGCACCTTTTATTATTGGTTCCGAAAATCTCGTCCTTTAAGCTCTTCCCTCGCCTATAAATAACACCCCTTCAACCCTAAATATCACCATATCAATTCCTTCTATTTTTGGTTCATCAATTCCTTCGATTTTTGGTTGTAATATAAAATTATTTTTTATTATATTATATTTATTTTATATATGATTATTCAAAAAAATATTGTACTAATTATTTTGTATTACTTTTTGTTGTTGTAAAATTAGAAAGTGGGATCATACATCGATACATTTTTCAATACGGTAACAATATCAAATTATATTATTTAAATTATTGTGAAAATTTTTAAAATTTTTATTAGGTTATATTTTAATTCATATATTATTTATTTAATTAGGCGTATTTCAGTTATTGTTTTTGCATATATAAGACTCTCAATCTTTCAAAATCTCATAATGACGCGTATTTCAACTATTGTTTACTATGATGGAGAAATTCTGGAAGATGAAATCGGCGTCGTATTCGTATAAAATCATTCTGTCAAAATATCCTTCAAGAGAAACATAACTCTTGAGGAGCTCATAACGAATATTTCAAGGAAGATTCATATTGGAAGTACTAGAAGACGTCTTCACTTCATTACAGATTTCCAACCGCAATATTTTCGTTAACTTATTCAACGTTCGAACTATCTAACGATGACGATGTTGTGGTGGTTGTAAAAAAGAATTGATGCATCAAATGGAATGTCTGTAACAAGCTTCTATAAAACCAATGAATTATTTCGTGTCACAAAGATCCCTCGACCTCTTCAAGGGATTCAAGCTAACTCGTTCAGAGTTAATCTACGAGACAGATGGTGCAACTGTGGGTTTTTTCAAGCTCTGAAGTATCCATGCTCTCATGTTATAGCAACTTGCTTGCATACCCTTCAAGACTGTAACCATTTTTTGGATCTTGTATACCTACTTTCAGAAGTGTTTAAGGTGTATGAATTTGAGTTCCTCCTTATAGGTAATGAGAAAGACCCTAATGAGGTTCAGAATTGGCTTCTGGTTGTACCGGATCCGTCCTTATTGAGGGAGTCTGATCATCCAAAATCCACTCAAATTTATTGTGATATGGATATTCGAGAAACATCAGAGAAAACAAAAGATGTGGGCATTGTAGAAACCTATGGCACACTAGGAAAAAATGTTCATCGCTATTGTCATCAAGTAACCGTTGATGTTGTGCTTGATGTAGTTGTTGTTTATGAAATATAAGTTTCTGTAATTTAATTTTCATTTACTTTCAGTTAATGTCATTTGAGCATCACTGATTAATTAAACAAGAAAACGATACAACAACAAAAATAAAAAGCACTAAATAATAAAAACATTTGAACAATTAAGTAATAAAAAATTAACAACCAAAATAAATTAAGTAATAAAAGGTAAATAATTAAATAAAAATTACAATTGTTGGTAAATAAAAAAATTAAATAAAAAATAATGAAACGTATGAATATATCGATGCATACGTCTTGAATATGTTCCGCAGGGCGGTGGCTATCTGTCTCGAGGAGGATTTCTTCGTATAACTTGTTCTGACTCCTCACTCTCATCATTATCATCACTATCATCATCATCATCATCATTAGGAGCATATATATTTTGTTGATGAGGGATGAATGATGATGTAGCGTCTCTATAGAATAAGGACCCTGGAGGTGTATGACTGACTATCCCACCGCTCATAGAAAACTGTGAAAATGGGAAAAGATCGACATCGATAAGTGTAAAATTGACATGAGGTGTCTATATGGTGGCCATTGGTGGTGAAGTTTCACCAGCCAAATAACCAATATATGAACCCCAAGTTAAATATGTAAACATGAAACTATAATATCCGTCAGGAAGGGTCATATAACTCTGCGGTGGTGGCGGCATCCGGTATGGGAGCGATGGCATTTGACCTGGCTACGGTGCCATCTGATATGGATGTGGTGCCATCTGAAATGACTGCGAAATATACAGTAGTGTAGACGGTGGCTGTTGTGAAGGTTCTGGTGCTACAGCTGAGGACGAGCAGGAAGTGTCTGCTCTCCGTCCATGAGTCGGGGACGATTATGTTGTGACAGTGGATGTCTTTGTCGGCGTCGATGAATGCTCCCACCTCGTGCTTTCTCCGAAAGTATGAACGGTTTCATGTTCCTATTGAACCACTCATAATAATCATCTGCAATCGTCAAATGGTCCACATAAATGGGTTATGTATGGGGAATACGCCCACGTCGATCCTCCCATATCATTACCCACTCATAGTGCTTCAGAAGCCAGTCGACTTCTTTTTTTCTACTTCTATTGATAATATGCAAATCATCGAGATTTTTAGGTGCTTCCGGAATAAATTGTACAAAACTAAACTGGTGGAGCACATGATCAATAGGATGCAACTCGACAATAGCATAACATATCAGAGGGACCACCACCATCTAGACATTTAATGGGCCTCTTAAGTGATATGAGATGCAAATCTTCATCTCTTCAGTACAATAAGGAGTTCATTCAAACTAAAACAAATATATATAATTTTTATTAAAATAATAATCTAATTATATAATGATAATTAAAAGTTCATTTTGTTATTTAAATACATACATCTTTGTTTGTATTCTGATCAATGAGTAGCCTAATTTCTTCCAATTCATCAGGTAAATCCCAATGATATTTTCTTGTAGTTGACCACCTATTTAATGAAATAATTTTTATTATATAGTAAATAAAATTATTAATATATGAAATTAGTATTGTAATGACCTCAATAATATCATGAAGACGAACGGGTTTTCCACCACCGGACATAAAAAGGGCATGAGATACCACGCCCAAGACTGGAGCATAAGGAGACATCCGCCAATAGCATTTTTCTATAGTCAGTAGCTCGACACATTTCCTTATACAGAAATGTCAAAACTGTCGAGTCTCAACTCAGTGTGCGAGCATGATGAAAATCGACGATGTGACGCAACCACATACAATGAACTTGGTTGTACGATTTGTCCAGCATCAGGAGCCCTCCTATGAGCTGTACTGTGCAATCCCGTGCATATATTTTAACATGCTCCTCCAAGGCGTCGCCACTCAAATGCTTAAAAGTTGCATACAACCAATTTAACGGAATTTGATCGCCGTTGAAATTAGATGTGATACATCCAAGATACTCATCGCACAATGAATGTCAGTCACCATGCGCCATCCCAAAAATCATATCCCCATCTACCGAAAGCCCCAAATACATGGAAACATCATCCAACGTAATTGTGCACTCTCCACACGGAATATGGAATGTGTGTATGTGGTCTCCACCGCTCAACTAATGCAAAAATAAAGTTGGATTCTAGGTTACAGTGCCCTTCATATTTTGCTTCGTAACCGAATCCAACCCCAACTAAATACAGCCATACAAGGGTTGGTATATCTAACTTAAGATTACGAATGAATTGATCTAATAAATGATATTTCTCCTAATTTAATAAATATTATAGAAATTAAAATTCTAACTGATACTAAACAAATTAAATAAATAAAATATTAACAATAATTAAAATTAAAATAGAATTTAAAATTGTTACCGTATCAGTAAAATGCCTCAAGATATGATGTTCATTTAAACGTAACAGACTGCCTTTCATTTTATAATTGCAAAAAATAATAAAAAGTTAATATAATGCATTTTAATAAAATAATAAATTATTAGTTTATTATAATACAATAAAATAATTTACCTTCTTAATAGAATTTGACCGGGTTTGAGCTTTGAGAGGTTTTAAGAATTTGGTGTGTGTTTGAATGAAGAAGGGAGGGGAGGAGTTTAGCTGGATGGGGTATTAATGTGGGAGGTGTAAAAGGTTGGAAAATTAATGGAAGGCGCGGATGGCGATACGCGTCTGTCCTTACGTGGCGTCAGCTTGGATGACGTGGTGCCAACTCGGATGAAATCCTGCAAATGTGCGGATCGTCTCAGAAAGGGTGCTAGATCGGTAAATTTTAGAGAAATAGTGTTTGACAAGTAATTATTACGTGTCAGGATGATATTTTGGTAAAAAAATCCCACTACCATATGCACATCATCATCGAGAGACTAAGAACTGCCCTGTCGATATGGAGAATACTTTGAATCTTAACTGAAGGTTGTTGGAGGATCGAGAATCCTATGTT